TCTTACTAACTTTATTAGTGAAGAATAATTTTCAAAAAATGAAGAAGCTGGTAAAGTTGACACATGAGCCTTGATAGACTTTTCTAAATCTGTATCATGCGAAGTTGGTCTATTATACGTTATGGTATTGGCTTTAAGAAATGATGGTCCATAAAACCATAAATCATTGTATACCAGTAAGCTTGGTAGAATTCCCCTAGAAGCACAATCTGCTGGGTTATCCTTCATCGATATATGAAACCACTGTGACGCTTTCATGTTGGTCAAGATTTCCGATGTTCGGTTGGCTACAAAAGTCTTCCATCTGCTAGGGTGACTGTTAATCGAAGCTAACACCACGGTGGAGTCGGTCCATGCTCTGATTTTGTCTTTGGCTATATTTAAGACTACAGCCGTCTCTGTTAGAAGTTGTGACAGTAGAACTGCTCCACATAATTCTAGCCGTGGAATACTAACTTGCTTCACGGGTGCTACTCTGGTTTTCGCAGCTAGTAAAGACAAGTGAATCTTGCCTTACTTGTCAATAATCCGCAAATAGACCACGGCTGAGTAGGCTGTCTTCGATGCGTCACTAAAACCATGTAGTTCCGGGACATCATTTGACTTAGTGCCAAGCAAACGAGGTATCCGGATATTGGTAAGTAACGTTAGTTCCTCACGGTAAGTACTCCACTCATTTTTCAATTCATCGTTTAGCTCTTCGTTCCAACTAACACCTGCAAGCCATAACTTTTGAATAAACACCTTAGCCAAAACCACACTAGGTGTTAACCAACCTAATGGGTCGAATAGACGAGCGATTAATGAAATGATTGATCTTTTATTTACAGGTGCTGTGGTTGACGGAGGAAGATTCACCGAATATTGGAATGTGACTTCTCTGCGGTTCCAGGTAAGACCCAAGATTTTAATTGTATTGTCTATTTTTATTTCTACTACTTTTTCATCTTTGTTCTCATTGTTGTTAATTTTATTGTACTCTTTTGTGTTCTTTGTGTCCTGTATTACTTTGCCCTCTGTGTTGTCCTTGATTATATTTTTATGTGTCCTAGTTTGATCTGTTTTTCCTGTACTAATACAATTTGTTTCCATTTCATTTATCCTTTTTACTAATTCCTGATTGTTAATATTCCACTTTTGTAGTTTGAATCCACCTTTGTTTAATAACCCTGTCATTTGCTTATAAATTTCTACACCTTGATCTACGCTATAACAACCTGTCATCAAATCGTCCATGTAGAAACTGTTGAGAACATTATCCTTGGCCAGTGGGTATTTATCACCATCATCATATGCTACTTGATGCAATGTCCTCACTGCCAAATATGGTGCAGACGCTGAACCAAAGATTACGGTCACTAGCTCATAATCAACGATATCCTTTTCTGGACTGTCTCGCCACAGTACGCGCTGAAATAATGTATCTTCTTCGGCAATTCTGACTTGGCGGTACATCTTGATTATGTCTGCTACCAGTGCTATGGAATGAAGTCTCCACTGCAGCACCGTGTGTCTTAAATCAGCCTGCAGAGTGGGCCCTACCATGAGTAAATCATTTAGTGAGACTCCGTTGCTATTATTTTCAGATTCATTAAAGACAACACGAACCTTTGTTGTAGTCTTGTCTTCCCGTACTACAGCGTGATGAGGTAAGTAGATAGCTATTTCTTTATTAGCATCATCATGTGGTCTAAGTCTAAATATTCTTTCATAACTTCTGTGTACTTTTCATTTAAATCTTTGTTATTAAAAAATCTTCTTTCTATGCTTTTAAATCTTCTCTCAGCTACAGCACGTGAGTTCCCAAAATTGCATGTAGGAGTTTGATCTCGAAAGGGCAGTCTGACTATGTACCTACCATTAACATCTCTCCTAGTTGTAGCCTTGTAAAATTGTTCACATTTCTCCTCTTCTGGTGTGAATATTTTTGTGGAACTATTAAGTTCTTCAATTTCCCAAAATTTTCTAAGTATGTCATCTTCATTGATTTGGGTATGCATTACGTTGATGGTGGTTGGTTTGTCATTATCATCTGGAGTAACTGCGCCAGATAGAACCCATCCTAAAGCGGTATTTTGAGCAATCATTGTACCAGAAGGACCTTTTACGATACCTTCCCTTATGATGCTGCTATAAGCGTCAGCACCCAATAGTACATCTATTCTACTGGGCTTGTTGTACCCTGGATCAGCAAGACTCAAGCTTGCAATCTCTAGCCAATCTAAGGTTGTACTAATACTACGCTCCGGTAAGTACGAGGTAATTTTGCTTAATACATAAGCATTAACTTTAAACATAACATCGGGATGCACTCGAGACATTATACTTAGATGTACCATGTGTTTCGCCATGGTTGAACTATTTCCTCCGAGTCCTGAAATAAGTCCTTGAATAGGAATCTTTTTCAGACCGAGAAATTGGACTGCAGCTTCGGTGATGAAGCAAGCTTGAGAGCCCTGATCAAGCAAGGCTCGGACAGTTTGGTATACACCCCGTCTTTGACTCAGCTTGTATTAGCGCCGTGGCTAATAAAACCTGTCTAGGCTTGGGAACGTTACCTGTTGAAAAACACGAAACTATCTGGTCAGAACCAGTTGAATTATTAGTGCATGCGTTAGAAACGTTTGTTGAAGCAGTTTGATCTTTACTATTTGTCTCTAGGTTAAGATGCAGAAGCGAATGATGACGCTTTTGACAAACTCTACAAGTGGCCTGTTTTTTGCAATTATGCACGGTGTGATTGCTGCCTAAACAGTTAAAGCAGATTTTAGCTTGCAACACAAACTTACGTCGACTCTCGACGGGATGCTTTGCAAATTTCTTGCAAAAGCATCTATTTTAGAGCCCTGTGGCATTTTACGCGACGATGGTAAGAGACCCGACGGTTTAACATTGATCCCTTGGGAGAGAGGCAAAGCCCTTGTTTGGGACGCCACTTGTGTAGACACTTTGGCTGCCTCTCATCTAAGGGGTACTTCGGTCAGGGCCGGGGCGGCATCGGAGGCAGCTGAAGAAGTAAGTAAATGGCGCAAATATGAGTCTTTATGTTCAGATTATGTATTTGTGCCATTTGCTGTTGAAACATTAGGTCCGTGGGGTCCGCGCACATCAAATTTTTTTAAAAGTTTATGTCCTAGGCTTAACGCCGCGGCTGGTGACAAGAGAGCTGGTTCTTTTCTCGCGCAAAGGTTGAGCATAACTATTCAGCGAGGAAATGCAGCTAGCGTTCTTGGCACCATGCCGCGTGGATTAGGTTTATTAAATAATATGTAATATTAGATAGATTTAATCTTGTAAATATTAGATCAATAAAACAACTGTAAATAAAGCAAAGTTTATGAGCTTCTGTGCAGAATTCACATCGTACACTTGTTGACCTGGTTGCTATCATGGCTCTCGGATATCTCGGAACAATAGTTCACATGCTCATAGCATGTGAACTATTGTTGTTGACCTGATGACCCATTCCTTTTTTGGGTTCTATACACTCCAATGCGCGAAAACGATTTTCTATGAAAATTTTAAATTGTTCAAAGGATGGCAAATCATTGTTGGAATCGTTGCTAATACTAAGCTCCCACTGTTTTCTCGTTTCGTTATCTAATTTAAAACTAACTATGTGTATGATGATAACATCCCATGTAGTCACGTTAATATTTAAATTTGCAAGCGCATTTAAACAATCACATGTGGTATCAAGCAAGTCTTTCAATGATGTAGCTGATTCCACATGCATACGTTTTTGGCCGAACAATCTTTTTAAAATACAATTACTTAAATATTTTTTATTACTATACCGTTTTTCTAACTGATTCCAGCACTGAATATAATTGGCATCAGTTATTGGTGTGTGCCGTATCAGTTGTTCAGCCTCGCCAGCGAGGTGACTTTTTAAATAGTGTAGCTTTTGTACATTATCTAAGGAATCATTTTTATGAACTAATGAAGTGAAAAGATCGTGAAATGTTGTCCATTCACCATATTTCCCAGAAAATGTTGGAAGAGCAATCTTAGGCAATTTTACAGATGGATTCGAGGATTTACAAACGCTAAGTGAACTCTCATCACCCTTTTGTATAGAACATTTTGTTTCCAGAATTTTATTTACAGTTGTTTTCATTAAACTCTTATAAACAATATATGTATCTTCGGTTGTATCATAAATAGCTTCGACTTTAAATTGTTCCAAATCCTTTAAATCAAAACATTCATATAACTTAGCGTTTGTGTCCTTGAATGAAACCCAATCTTTCTCTAATAATTCTTGTTTTGTTTCAATGTATTCTATTGTCAATCTATCTTTTCCGCATTTTTTGAAATTACTTAGTCCTTTACTAATAACGTTTTGTAAATGTTTCAAAGTATTAATTGATTTTTCCATTTTAAAATAGGTCGATTGATTTGATTTTTAATATATAATCTGCTCCAAAAATGAGCTAACAACTACTTTAATATAATAAATACTTTAAAACTTAATAAACCTGCTAAAATATTCGTATAAATTAGTAAACAAACAAAAAAAAAATAAGAGGTAAAAGGTCTTCACTGAGTTAAACTTGATTAGTCTAAGTGTTAAAAAATAAAGTACTGTAAAATCGCAAGTGAAATAAACTATATTTAAAAAATTTCTAAGTCTTATAAAAACGTGCAAAATTTTACAAGTGTTTGAGATTAAATATTCTAGTCAAACAGAAATCGGGCATAGATTCCACGTTCCCCCCCGTTTCTTTACAAATTATTCTAAGGCCTTATATCCATACTAGCACACACGAAATACAACTTAACAATAAAGTAAAATAAGAAAAATATTGTGTCTAAAATTATAAATTAAATATTGCAAGTCCAAAATGCAAAGTGAAACTCTTGATTTGAGTGAAGTTCAATATTGCTTGATTCTCTTGTGGTTGTTCACAAACTTGATAATATAAATGATTGTACTCACAATATTGACACAAACACAACTTGTTGATATGCAAGTCGCGCCCTCTGCTGGTAAGTAGATGAAATCCTCTTGTCGTTGTTTTGTACTGCTGCCCTCCGTCTGCGTCAAAAGTAGCGCCCCTTTGTGGCTTCTACCAGGAACTAGTCCGCTGATGATGAGCTCGTCCACAGCTGTGCGGCGTCACTGTCGCGGCGATCGTGTACTCCACTGCAGCGATCCACTGCGAGTAACACGAGGGGAGCAGGCCACCCGAGACCGCTCAAAGCAAAAAGAGAGGTTCGGCTCGACGGACCAATGTTTAATACCGACGTTTGGTATTAATTTTGACTGGTGTGCACACTAGTAGGAATGTTAAATAAAACCACACTGTGTACTGATCTAAGGCTCGATCTACCAATCTATTTTCCAGGGTATCGGATGACAATATATTGAAACTTTGTTCCGCCTTATGTACTATGCCCTATGTACAAACCATAGTGCGTTTTAATTTGATCGTAGCGACCTCCAGTGACAATAATACACACTCGATACATAAACATTGACTTAAGACTGAATTGTGAACATACCGCCCACCATGCCTTAGCGTAACTCGTGAACACCCGTGCTGTATGGACATACGTACATACATACGTCATCTGTCGCAAGACGTCCACTGTTTTTTTCTTTTATTTTGGGCTGGATGAGCCACTGTTGGCCTTAGGGGCCTTCACAGTTCCGACGGGCTTGGGGTGGCCCGGCGCACGGGCGCCTAGCCTGAACCTCGGACGTCCACTGTTGAATATATTCGTTTATATTATTTATATACCGGTTAGTAAGAATGTACCACACACTTTGTAAAAATTTTTATGTATTTCTTTTGTAAAACTACCTTGTTTCATCACTTTTTATTATAATTAGTCCACTAGCTTCGCCAGTTCGGAAATTTTTTGCTGTACATAATATAGTATTTGTATTTTCTCTGTAAGTGATTTGGTGTAAATCTTTTGAGAAAATAAATGTCTTAAACCTTATATACGGGCGTTGTGGCGTTCGTTATATACGTTCGTGGTACAACGAACAGCCATTTGCAGTATGGACATGCATCTTCTATATTAATAAACATCATTGAAGAGTAACGTAAAGGTTAAACTTCATATGTGAGACTTTTTTTTTGTAAATCCTATCTTTTCTAAAAAAAAATCTTCAAGCGAGCTCTCTTTTCAGCCGCTGACTTTATAAAGTTAGTTGTGTTTTGTAAAAATAATATTACGGAAAAATTTACCGTTAAAGATATTGTGCACTTCGTTCGGGCTTTTAATATTAAAAATAACTGCCGTAATCTGTTTGTGCACAGACACATATTACGGATAGTTTTATGCCCTATAAGAGTACTTCAAAGATTGGCTCCGTGGTATGCGGAATGTTATTCATTTGAAATCATCCTAAAAAAACTAGCCAAATGTAAGTCGGACTAGCGCACACACACATAAAAACGGCAAAAACCATATCTGTTGTATGGGAGCCCACTTAAATATTTTACTAAGTATTCGTTGTTATAGCGGCTATATATATAACAGAAATACATCACCTGTCAAAATTTTAACTGTCTAACTATCACGGTTCATGAGATACAGCCTGATGACAGACGGACAGACAGACAGACAGAGAAGGCTTAGCAATAGGGGCCCCGTTTTACCCTTTGGGTACGGAACCCTAAAAAGTCTTTCCTTTTACTTAGTTAGGTTAAGGAAACGTTACTTCAGAGAAAAAACGATTAATTTGTTTAGCGAGATAGTATCAGATGATAAAACAATTACTGACTGAAAATAAAGATTTTAGCAAATACAATTTCAGAAACTATTAAAATGCAGCTCGGATATGAGCCAAGACTTGGAAACCCGATCCCGTGCACAGCTACAAGGTTTATTATATCCATATTACTTTTGTCCTTGCCAATGGCATATTTACGCAAACAACGCAATTTCAAGTTGTGTAAACGCTACAGAAAATGTTGCAGACGCTTTTCATAAAGGTTTATTACGTGGCCCATAAGCTATATTAAATCGCTGAGTGTAAAATTATTCAAATTACTATATGAGTATGGGGTATAAGAAGATTTGAAAGGTATTATTTGTTGGGGTACAACATAAAGATAATATCGTATTAACATATTTATGTCTTAGGGAATTGTATCACCACCTCCTTAAGAGATGGCATCCTTAGAGCTCATAGAGGATCATTTCAATTTAAAATATAAATGTTTTATATTAGTTTATACGGAAGTTTCATTACATATGAATATAGTTATACAGTCGGCTAAATATTGTAAACAGTTGGCCGAATGATTAAATTAATAATTTTTAATATATAATAAACAAACAAATATGGTACTTTGTACTTCATTGAATCTGTATGTAGATGGTCGTAGACAATCTGAACGTTTGCTTTGAAGAGTACGGTTAACGTATTCCGTGATTGAATCATTGGTGACACCTATTCTAGCAAGGCCGTGACAACTTGTCCTTTTTTAATTTTAACATCTGCAAACATAGAGAAAAAAATAGAGTCGCGGAGAATTGGGAGGGTGCGCAAACGCGATACCATAACTCCTCTTCGCCCGCAACTCCACCTCAGTTGCGGAAGGGAGAGGCTGCTGTTCCCCTTCTAGCACCCTCAACCGGTCCCTCACAGGCAGCTCGAAACGACCCTCGGGCCTGCCTTAGCGCACAGGCCAGCCTGGTATGGGTTCCTCGTGGGTTTCACGGCTTTAATAGCACCGTATTCATGTTGAACGATCGCCTGTTATCGCAGATCGTACATCTCGGGAATGTAGATGACAGAATGACGAAAGAGTTACACATGCAATCAGGTTATTGAGCGCGGCTGACGTCTAAGACGCGGCAGCAAAGCGGGACCATTCGTTAATAGTAACGCAAGTATATTTAGAACGTACTTGTTTGACATAGTATATTTCTATGTCTGGTTTACTTTTAGAAAGTAAAAGTCGTTATGAAACACAAAGTATCAGAACGTATCAGCGTATACATGTCCCACTGCTGGGCGAAGGCCTCCTCTGTGCAGAGGGTATCAGGGCATGATCCACCACACGGGCCCACTGCGGATTGGCGGACTTCACACATCTTCGAAATATTTTTTTGTTATTATTTCGAAAATATGCAGGTTTCCTCACGATGTTTTCCTTCATCGCTGAGCACATGATAATTCGGCACTTAAAATTAAAAATTGTATTGGTGTCAGCACCGGGCATCGAACTTAGGTAGCTCGAGTATATTGAATTAAAGGCGGACGCCCGGACACTGAGCTATCACGGCTCTGAAACATATTGAAACAGATTTGAACAGAAACAGACTAGCCTCGAGATAAAAAAAATCGGGCTTTTAAATGGCAGCTATAACTTGTAATCAAATATATTGCTCTAATGTAGAACTTAAAAAAAGGAAGGAAAAGACGTTTACTTGTCAAAACATAGTTCATTAGCAATCTCGACTGCAGTCGCCTTATGTTCTACCATTTGTGGTGTATAGATATTACTTTCCGAAACCTCATACAATTTTTTTCCATTTCAAATTCCATCCCATTAACTCATTGCGGTATCATTTATTTATGAGTTAACTACATAATTTGAACGTAATTAAATTATGATAGAAGTTTTTATACCGTTGGGTAATTCAATATATATATAATTTTTACTATTTCTTTTTAAGTTTAACATATTGTATGTCATTATAATTTTATAACATCCATTATTGACTGTCATCATATATAATAAAAACTACTACTTTTGATCTGCACAGTTTTTGCTGTAGGGAGAAGGGCCGGAGATCTCGTCGTCGCAGGTTATTTGGTAATAGGTGTTATTTTTTTGCTAGTCTCTCTCTCTGCGACCGCTGCGTCTCTGTTCCTAATTGCCATTTTAAGGTTGTAGTCTCTTATCTTGCAGGTTGATGCCGCCATGGCTTTTTGGATAAGGCGGCCTGCTGCGTCGTCACAGTCGTCTATGTAGTAAACACAGCTGACCGTGTGTCGGGATACCTTCACTACGGCATGCTGAACGCTGTCGTGCAGCTGTAGCTTGCTCACTTTTGTACGCATGACAACGACTGACCCGTATGTTAGTCCTTGTGCTTCATGGATGGTGGGAACCCGCGAACCGTTGCCCGATCCATATCCCTGGTTGATAAGGGCCTCCTTTTTTTCCGCCTGGGTATAGACTAGGAAAAGCGTTTCTGGACGAGTTTTCTGTATTTGCGAGTTGGAGTATCTTTCGATACTCAACGAATGCACAAGGGATCTGGAAGAGTATATGCCACTGTATATTTCGTTGAGAGCATATGCTACATCCATCGGGTTCCTATGCGTACACAGCAGTTCCTGACTGACGCCTGCCACTAGGTTTGGGCGAGTGTACTGCATCGAAAAGAGGTTTTCCCTGTCAATATAGGGGAGTTGGTTGATGTCACCAATCAGCAGAATTTTTTTAGCTTCGCTCAGTCGCATTGCCATCACAATGGCTCCAAAGTGGTTCATAAGGGCTTCGTCAACCATGAGCCGAGTACAGGTCTTCTTCTCTGGCTCTTTGAACCCATTTACCAATACCGAAGCCATTGTGCGCACTTTGGTATTTGCACTGGCGCCGACGCGACTAGCAAGCTTCTCGCGAAGATCCTTCGCCGCCTCTATTGTTGTGGTGATCACACGTCCCTCCCTGTGTCAAAGTTCTTGACGATCCACGTTGTTTTGCCGCAACCGGGCACCCCGTTGATCCATCTAATGTTCGGCACCGTCCAGTCTTTCCAAGGTGCTTCCGGATCTTGTGCTCCCGAGACGGCGTTTGCCATGCTTAGGATTCTGTGGTCCAGCATAACCTTGGTGCATCTAGCGGTGACGACTATCGGGTCGTCGGGGGCGGCTTTAAACGTTGGATGTCCCATTTGTTCTGTCCTTTCCTCGTCCAGCTCGACTAAGCCAAGAGACTCGTTATAGGCTGCCATGTGCTGCCTCATGGTTACCTTTAAAACCTCTGAGGTGGTGTTGTTGTAGATGGCTGCCTCTGCTTCCAATAGTTTTGTTTGGAGAAGACTGTCATTGTTTCTCCTGTATTCTTGCAGAATTTCTCTGCATGTCATTAAGTTGACTTCCCTCGTCGCTCTTGTGAGGACCTGAAACTCGAGGAAGGCGTTTATTATGTGGTCTCTTGGATCATGTACTGGTCTTAAGATTGGCAGATTTACTTCTCCTTTTTCGGCTCTCGTAAGGGTGGAGTTTGGGCCTATTAGGATAGGATGCTTGGGAGGCTTCTTGGCTGTGGTCGCCTGATGGCTTTCGGTAAAACTTGTTAGC